GATTATGTGTTTAATAGCTATGTCTTAGAAAATTAATTATTTTTTTAACTTAGATTTTAGTTAAAAGAATAACTACAATATAAATAGAGCGATTAATAAACCACTTTATATTATCACTTAATGTATCATTTTTCTTACTTTTCTGTTGCTTAATTATTCTTGGATTAAAGATCTTCTATTGCTTTTTTGATGGCATCTTCTGCAAGCATACTACAATGTAATTTTACAGGAGGCAACTTTAAATAACTTGCAATATCAGAATTCTTGATGTTGTAAGCATCTTCCAATGTCATACCTTTAAGAATTTCTGTAGCATAAGAACTAGAAGCTATGGCTGAACCACAACCAAATGTCTTAAAATTAGTTTTAAGTTTATAGAATTACTTTAAAAACAGCTTATTCAATAGTTTTACCATCCTCTCCTACTTAGATTTGTAATTTCATAACATCTCCACATGCTGGTGCACCTACCAATCCTGTTCCAACCTTTGGATTGCTTTTATCAAGTGATCCTACATTTCTTGGGTTTTCATAATGATCTATAACATTTGGATGATAAGAAAAGCGAGGAATAAATTATATCGATCGTTTAAGAAGAGTTAACATAAATAATAATAATTTAAATTTTTTATTATGGCTTAGAACCAAATAGTAGGAGCAATAAAAATTAAGGATGGATTATTTATTGGAGATGAATTCGCATCATAGGTTTAGTATTGAATTTAAAAAAGGATCGAGAATTTATAATAACCAATAAAGTAACTCATATAATTAATTGTGCTGGCACAGAAGTACAAAATAAATGGACATTGATGGGTGCAAAGTATTTAACTTTTAATTGGTTAGAACAAGATAACGAAGTATCTATTAAAATTTTGATTTTTAGGTTTTATTTGATGAACGAGGTGAAAATGTAAATAAAATATTTACATTCATTGAAGAATGCTTTCAATTAGGTGAGAGTTGTTTAGTACATTCAGTTAGAGGATAGAGTAGAGCATGTTGTGTGCTTGCTGCTTATTTTATGAAAAAGTTCGTTAAATTATTTAAATTTTTTAGATATTCGTGGACATTATATAAAACATTAGAATTTTTGAATTCTAGACGTCCAGATCTTGAAATTAGAGCATCCTTTTTTTATTAATTAAATGCATTGGAAAATAGAATGAATAAAGTAGGACCAAAAAGAACTGCTTCATGGAATGAACTCACATAAGATGAATAAAATCCTTAACATGTTTAGGAGGAATTGATCATTAGAAATACTTTTTTGAATTCTCATAATGGTCCTGTTGATGAAATATATACTAATTTATAAGCTAAATAGGTATTAGATTTAATAAATATATAAAGGGAGTCTTGGGAAAACTTACCAACTAAAAGTTAAAATGGAAAGATCAAATGAATAAAGAAAATATTCCATTAGCAACTCTTGTTTATTCAGGTTCTCCTGATTTTGTACCTGTTTCTGAGATTAATTTAAAACGAGATTCTGAGACTTCCATTTTAAAAGTAAAATTAGAATTTAATTAGGGAGCATAAAAAAACCAATCCTTGATCTAATTACCTAAACAACCATAAATTTAAACTAATTTCCCAAAAAGTACTTAAAATACAACTCAGGTAAGAGCTGAGAGTAGTAAATCATAGTAATAAGATTAAACTGATATCGCTTTGAATTCTAATTTAAATACTACTAATTTAATTAGCAATCCTTCATTTTAGAATATATTAATGAATTGCGCAGTGAAAAGTAGAACGCCATAATAATAACAATAATAACAATAATAATAACAATAATAATAATAATAATAATAATAATAATAATAATAATAATAATAATAATAATAATAATAATAATAATAATAAACTATAATTGATTAATATAATAAAAAATCTTAATTGATTAATAATTTTGTTAAGACTTCAGATAATCCAACATAATAATAACCTCCTTTTGGAACTATATTGACTAATAACAATTAAAACTTCTAAAACAGTTCAAATGCAATCAGAAGCAATTCTTTATAATAAAATGAGGAAAAAAAGTTATCGACAGACATATAAAATTAAACCAGACCTAGCTCTTTGAAATAAAAAGATAATTAAAATTCCATTTTGACTAATTTTTAAGAATTTAAAAATCAAGTTTAATAATCCTTAAATTACTTTAATAAATAAGCTGAAGCTTTATTAAATTTTGATAAATAATCCTAATAATCATAAGGAACACAATTAATAAATTAAACAAATAATACTATCTAATAGAAAAGTAAATTAGATTAATTAATTAGTCCAACATCAATTTAAACTATGAACTCTACTAAACATTCAGAAATTCAAAAAACCTTAACTTAATCAATTTCATAATTATAGTCTAGTTATTAAAAGTTTTAGCAACTTTAGCAAAAAAATTAAATAAAATAATCCTAATCTCAATCTTGCATTTAAAAATCAAACATTTAAAATTCTGAATTATCTTAATATAATTAACCTATGATGTTAAACCAAACTAACTTATAAGATAGAAGCTCCTCTTTAAATAAAAATTAAGAAACTTTGGATTCCAAACTCAGAGCTAACAGTACTGAAATAAAAGATACATAAAAATCTAATTGTATATAAAAAAAGGAAAGCTTATCCCCATTTTCAAAAGATCCATCTAAAAAAGTTTCTTAATAAGGACCTCCTCTACCATAATCTAGTTCACAAATATATTTAAGAAATGTTTAATGTAGAAGATAAGCAGCCTCTACATTGAGGAATTAATAAAAACCCAATAATTCATTCTAAGATAAATATTTAAATTAAAGTGCTAATTAAGCTTAAAATAACAGCTTTAATAATAATAGTAATTCAGCTATTGAAGCTGAGTAAAAGTAATAAACAAAAGGCATAGTTACAGACCTTAATTAATTTAAGAAATTAATATCACCTTAAAACTTGACAAAGAGTTAGGCATAGTTTATTAAGAATCAACCTATAAGAGTTTTACAAGAATTGACAGAAAAGACTTAATCATAAAAATAAGTGTAAGATATTTGTATAATATTTTAAAGAAAAGTCAAAGATAATGTATCATCAACTAGTTTTACTTTAGTTTAAAAACCTTCGTAAGTAAATACACGAACTTTTTCACCTGCTATTAAAAGTATGCAATATTAATTAATTTAAGATGAGCCTAAGAATAAGACAACGAATGTTTCTAATGTAAGACATAAAATTAGGAATTCTTCTCCAGGTAATATTAATTTTAATATAAATATAGGAATATCAAAGGAATAGGATTAGTCTAATTCATTTTAAAATATATCATCAACTTTACAAGGAAAAAATAGTTGGAAAATGCTATGATACAACTACTTTTATCTTATATTTTTTAAATATCAATATTATAAATAAGTAAATTTAATAAATTATAAAATAATAATCAATCTGTTTAAGTATTATGTGAGTTTAATTCATTATCTAAATTTCTAAAAGTATCTTCCATAATAAATTTAGATCCTTGTTATTATTAGAATGTAATATGATGAACTCCTAAATTTTTGCTAAAGCCATTACTGTCATTTTCTTTTTCTTATATATGATATCTAGAGAAGATATTATAATTATAATTACATATCTGCAGATTAGAGTGAATATTTTTCTGGATCATTTGAATCAAATGTCTTTTTATTAAATTAACTGTCTTATTCAGTAGAACAATACAATAAAGTTTACAAATTTTAGATTTCATAATGTTAATTCATAATAGTTTTTTATTATGATTCAATTTATCTTTTTTAAATTTAAATAATTTATTTCATTTTATTAAATTCTTTTTGTTAGACAAAAGAATTATTGGATGGTTAATTTAACTTCTTTTCTTTTAGTAAAAATTGATTTATAACAGTTTGCATTTCAACTAATTTTTATTCGCATATATCTTTTTCTTTTTGTAATTGCTCTAATTGAGCTTGATAAAATAAAACTTCATTTTGAACAGAAGATCTTCTTGATAAGGATTCAAATTAATTACTTTTCTTTTGATTTAAAATATTTAATTATTGTTATTACTTATAAGTTGATAACTCATCTTATTTTTATTCCAATTTATTCATGATATCATATTATTATTATTCTAGATTTTCAAATTATTATTTTAAATGTTGAATTGATGAATCTTTAGCTAATAATAGTTATTTATGTTCATTTAATTCATTTTATAATTAAGAGATTTCTTTATTTTTTTAATTTAAAACTTATTCATTGTTATTATTAATCACTTTGTTTCTTTCGCTTCTTAATAGTTTCATATCTTCTAATAATTATTGATTTTATTATTTTAAAAGATTAAAATCTTTATTTTACTATTCAAAATTAGATCTCATAAATTCAAGATCCTTTAACATTTCTTCTGTTTGAGAATATAATTTTTAATTATCTTAATTTAAACAAATATTATTTTCTTGTAATTTTTAATTTTCTTGTTCTTTTTGTGTTAATTATTATTTTAACTCTCTCAATTATATATTAAGTTATTCGATTCTATCGCTTTGATCTTTTAACAAATTTGATTTTTAAGAAGAGACATTCTTTACATTTAATTAATCTTCAGATTATTTAAGTTGTGGTTTTAAACAAGCATGAGTATGAGGACTATAAGATTAATTAATTTAGGAATTATCAGGAGTTTTATCATAATGAAAACTAGCAGTAGTTTTAGTAGGGGTTTTTTTTAATAGATGTTCTTTGGATTTGTTTATAGATGTATCAAGTCTTAAATTTCCTGTGCTACTTTGATGCATTTATTTCACAATATCTAATGCTTTATTTGATTGTTGGGTTTCCAATTTATTTTTGGAGTTGAGAAGCATATCAATTCTTAAAGGTTGGATAGGCATGGATAATATGTCTGGCTAAGGACTTTTGATAGGCTTGTCTAATGGAACAGAATTTTTTGATTTTGAGATATTCATTAACGACTAAAATATTATATATTAACAATAATTTAATATTCAATTTTGCATTTAATTCTAATTCACTTTTTTGAGAAATCCAACAACTTCAATTTAAAATTTCTTAGCTAAATCTGAGAGATCTACTTTATTTCCATCAATTAGTTTTTGTAATTTTGGTGTTTAAACTATAATTTTAAATTGTTCAATCACTCTATCATATTTTTAAATTCTTTCTTCCCTTGCTAAATCTGCTTTTGATAATTAATTGAATAGTTTAATATTAAGGATTTCCTTGTATAAAATTTAATAAAATTACATCTCTAAATTAATTAAGTGTTGTCCATGCAAAATCAAGTCCTCTTCTTACATATGAAGAGTACTTTGATTCAATTAAAATTCTTGCTTTCTCCAATAACATAGGGATAGAATCAATAGGTACTTATCCTAATTTATTTGATTAAGAATACAGAGATAGAGCATCTTGTAATATAGAGGGTTCCATTACTCTAATATAAAATACTAATTTTACTGAGTGATTGCATTCATTGCAGATTTAAGATTGTTGTTACTCCACCAATGAAGAATAGGTTTCATATAATTAATTCTTTAAGTCAAGACTGATTAAACTTTATTATGATCTTTGACAATTTCATGGATTAGATCTACTTATTTAAATTTTTCTTTGTTTTAATCTCCCATCATAAATTAAGAGAGAGTTAAATCACTTGAAGCCATAATTTCAGATTCATCTTAAGGTTTATCTTCATCATCAATATTTGGAGGAAGAACTTAAGGAACCTAAATATATGTAATTAGTTTTTATTGATTATGTTATGGTGTGTGCATAGTTTAATTCATGGTAGTTTATACTTGATTTGAATAATATTAATTTGAATCATGATTTTGAAATAGTTGCTGCTGTGATTATTACGACAATAGATTTTATTATAAATATAATTAATTTTATTATTGTTGTTATTGATAAAGTGGATTAGGTTATTATTGATAAAGCAAAGGAGCTTATTACTAAAATGACTGAGGTTATTAAATTTAATATTAATAAACCATTTGTTATTGAGGATATTACTATAATTATTGATATGCATTATTATTAACATATGGTTATCCAATAATTTATTATTATTAATAATAAGGCTGTTATTATTATTATTATTATTATTATTATTATATCTCTTTAAATTATTCATTCGACTTTTAACGATCATATTAATAATCCTAATTTAATATATTCTATGCTTGCATCTGTAATGATGGTTTACTTTTAACTTTGCTTTCTGAATCAGATGGCTTAGAATTAGCAGTTTAGATTTCTGATCTTTTATCAGGTGTTCTTCCTCTTTATTTAGGAACACCTCCACTAGATCTAACATCAACATTTTTGTTATCTTGACAAATAGTTTTGAGATTGACCCCATGAAGACTAAATCCAGATTGCACATTTGATGCAAGTCCCAATAACTGATCTCTTTCTTAAACTACTATCAAATCTAGGACTCCCCTCCAACTACTTTCAACATTATCCAAAAGTTAACAATCATGTTCTACATCCCAAACTTTTAGAGAATCGTAGGCTGCAGAATATAATACTTTTCCATTTTATTCAAATAAGATGCATTAAATAGGAGTTGTATCTGTTCTTGTAGATGATAACTATTATATCAAAAGATCAAATTACTTAAGTTAATCGATCTAAGTCCCAATATCTGACACATCTATCTCCACCACCTGAAGCCATTGCTTTATCAACAGGATTGAAACTTAGACATGTAATTTAACTATCATGTTAAGTAAAAGATGCTATTATTTTAGCTTAATTGATATCCCAAATTTTAACTTATCCATCGTTTGAACCCGATGATAATAATTTACAATTTGGAGAGACTGCCAAAGCATTGATTTACATACTATGTCCTTTAAATTGATTGACTGCAGTTTTGGTCCTCAAATCCCATAATTTAATTGAAGTGTCATAGGCTCCACTTAAGAGAAGATGTTTATTTTCTTCAGTAGGATAAATACAAAGTGTATTAACACAAGTAGTATGACCTTTAAGTGTTTAAATTTCTATATGAATTTGAATATAAATTACATTTTTAACTTTCAACATCCCAAATATTGATTATACCTCTATTGGATCCTGAGAATACTTCAGTTTCATTAAAGCTAAAATTCACACTAGCAACTTCAACTTAAGCATTTGAATTATTTTATGAACTTAATGTCTAGTAATGTATTATTTAAATACAGCAATAGGTTTTTAATTTCCAATTTACCAGATTTGAACACAATTTTTTTCATCTCCACCTACTATCAATTTCTTTGTATATGTTCCAAATTTAGCACAAAGTACTTTTGATGTGACATATAAATCAGCTTAATTTATTATTTGATTTACATACATAGTTTCTAATTTCTCTTCTTCATTTTATAAAAAATATATAATAATTACTTATTATTATAATTATATAATTACTAATATTTCATTTATCACTTTTAATCCATTACTCTAGTTTAGCCAATCTTTCATGATCAATTTTTTAAGCCTAAAAATAAATATTAAACAATATTAAACTTTTTAAGATAATTATAAAATTTATATTTCTCCAAAAGAATCACCAATGGCTAATTTGGTCCCATCTTTTGACCATTAGGATTTATTTATAGAATTATTTCCAGATTTATATCTTGTAATAGGAGCTTCTAAATCATATGACAAATCCCATAAATCAACATAACCTTCTCCATCTACAGTTGAAAATAATGAAGGATGTTATCCATTCCATTATATATCATAAACATAATCTTCTGAACATTCAAAAGTTGCAAGACATTTAGAATCAGATTATGTTCTAGTATTCCATAATTTACATGTCCAATCAAATGAACTGCTCAAAAGTAAATTTGACATTATTGGTGAAGCTTATGGTGATGAATTTAAAGAAATTCCACTAACAGGAGCTAGATGTTCTTCAAAAGGAATTACAATATTTTCATTTGTATTTTGATGTAATTTAGATTTATAAATGCATCCATCTTCAGCACCAACATAGAAATTATTTGCATCTCCTTAAGGAAACATCATACAAGTTGAATTTACTTCAACCTAAGGATTAGTTGATTACTATTTATTTTTAGTTTTCAAATCAATAATTTTTTATGGTTAATTAAATTAAGCTAAATTCCATATACATATTCTTCCATCATTTGATGAAGATATTACATTATTTGCATTCTGTGATCCAACAATATTTAATCCATAAATAGGATAACTATGTCCACCACTATTTAAAGTTGATCTCTTCTCAGGAGTATGTTTTGCTCTTAAATCCCACACAACTACTTAACCATTATACAATCCTCCTAAAACAATATTAGGACTAAATGGATGAAAACAGGCTGATGTTATGGGACTACTTGCAAAACAATAAAATTCAGGTCTAGATTTTAATTATAATGACCATAAAAGTACAACCCCCACTTAATCTGTTATAGATCCTTCTTCATTTTAAGAATAAGAGGCTAAAAATGTATTAGGTAAATTGGGTGACCATTATATTGATGTTACAACTCTATTTTCTGTATATAATTTGTCACTAAATGAGAGTAATTTTGTTAAATTGTCCTTACCTATTTCTTAAGCCACTTATTATGTGTTCATTAAATCCTCAAGAACATCAACTTCTGCTCCATGAATAGCTTTTTCTATAGTTTTTGAACTTCTTGAAAAAAACCTCTAAAATGATTAAGATTGTATGATGGAATTGATTTCTTCCATAGATATATTCTTTTCTACTTTTTCTACTGGTTTTTCAGCACTTTAAAAAACTTCTCTTTTTTTTCTGGAATCTCTTCTGACATTCTCCATTGATGGAATTATTTGATCTTCATTTTCTTACTTTGATTATGGCATCTCAAATTCACATTATACACCAAATTCTATTGTTATAACTTCTGCTTAAGGAGGAGCAGGGTTATTTGAATACATTTCTATTGTCTAAAACCCTAATTTTTTTCGCTTTGTCTGTAAATATAAACTTATTAAGTCTGACTATTATGGATGTGTTATTATAGTCTAATTTTAAAGAGGCTACTCTTTTTGAGGAGATTAATTGGTTTGAACATTTTCTTATACTTAAATCACTTATTATGGTTAGGTATTAGAAGAAATCTATTGAGATTATTCAAGTTTCTGTTTATAACTTAAATCATTTAAATAAAAATTACGCAGCAATCCTATCTCTTTTTTCTTACAATAATCTTTATTTCTCTTATTAACTAATCATATAATATATTTATTTGAATTGATATTTTATTTAATTTTCACATACAATCTATATATTTAAATAATAAGCTCAAATTTATTATTATTTAGAGTTTTCAATGATTTAAAGTAGCTGTTTGATTTAAATCTCATTGAGCATATAAAATTTACAATATTTTAAAGTCAAAGTTCTTACATTATATTTTGATGGACTAAAACTTAACATATTTTCTATTAAAGATCCCAAAAATCCAAATACAGTATTTTTTTCTCTAAAATATATAAATAATATATATACCTATCAATAGAATCATTAATATTCTCATAAATTTTCAGTTCTTATTATTTTTTCATCTCTTCATATAAACATTCAAAGAATATGGCATCCCATAAATCAAATCTATCAAAAATTTAATGATGTTGAATTCCATCAAATAAAAATATCTTTTCTGTCTTTTCAATTCTATAAAATGTAAAAGTCATCAACATTAATTTCCTAACTGCAAATGCATCATACTCTTCTAAACACTAAATAATTAAATTAATAAATCATACCAAATCAAGTATTTGATTCAACAAATTTACTGTATTTTAATATGAAATTTAACAAATCTCAAATTTTTTATCTAGTCTGAATTACTAAAACTCAAAAACCCATATTTATCTCCCAATCAAGTTGTGATTAAGTAAATTTATTAATGATTTTATATTTACTTCTTAAGATGACCATAATTCTTACATTTAATTATGAATTCTCTCTTGACATAATGAAATATTAGTAATCAAATCCTCATTCTATTATTAGATTAGGAGATGAATATTTTCATAATCATTTTTCATAATTTCCATATTTAAAGTGATTATTTCTCTATTAAATTAAATATTCTAACATTTTGAATTGATGAAATGAGAAACACTATCAATCCAATTATCTTCTATCTTTAAAACTGAAAACTATATAAAACTTTTCTATTCCTTATAATTGATTTCTAATGATTTTAAATAAGATTCTTTGTATCTATAAAGATTATACTCAGCCTAAATCTAATTCAAATTCTATAGTTAACTTATATTAAATTTACTTAAAAAATTCTATCATTTTAAAACAATTAATTCATAACAATCTTCATTGAATTTACTCTATCTTGATCTTATAGTTAAAATTCCTCTATTATCTTTGAAATTCTTAATTCATAACCTTATAAATATTGTTCATATGATGTTTATTAATTGCTTAATTTTTCTCTTAATTCCTTTAGACTTCTATACAATTTATCGGATTTTAATGTATTTTCATTTTTTTTCTATGGCTATAATTAACTTAGATTCTCTTAAGAGAACTTCTATATTTAATGCTGAAAATAATCATTATTTTTTTAATTTAATTAGCTTATGAGCTAATTATTCTATATAATTTTTATACCTTTTCAACTTCTGATCTTTCCTGTTTAAGTTAACTAGATAACTTTCGACCATCAGAGATCAAACCTCTAACCTTATTGGTTTAATCTTTTACTAAAATATTCAATTAATTGATGATGTAATCTTTAATAAATTATGCATATTATCTTGACTCTTTTATCTTTTGTCTTATTTCATTACAATACAAAGCTATTATTTTTTCTAAGTTAACAGCAGAATCTGCTTAATTCCTATTTACTATCAATTCAGAAATCCCATCTTCTAAATTTTTAGAATACTCATATTCAGCATTCACTCGATTTTACAATGAATCAATCATCTTAGTGATATCATTTCTACCTTTAGTTGACTCTTTAACTACATTTTCAAAATATTCTAATTCTAACCCTCCTATATATTTTTATATAGTTAAAGTCAAACTCATATAAAAATTATAGCATTTCAATTCTAGTAATAAATATCTATTAATAATTGAATTTCAACACTGCTTTTTACTATATTAGCTAAACTTTCAATTCTAAAAGATTGAACAAACTTTCAATCTGTATTACTTAGATAGATTAAAGCATTAACATATATTAATGCATCTTAAGCAACCTAACATTATAATTATTAATAAGTAAAGCTATGTGATTTATACCTATATAATAAAACATAATTCATAAATTCATTAATCTATCAGAATATTTAGATAATCATTATCATAATTTTAATGTCTTTAATTTTTACTAATAATCTAATTTTTTATTATGCATTCTTACAATAACATTATTAATATTTTTAAGTAATTACAATTATATTTGCCCATTTGCTAGAATATTGCTATTTGAAAGTAGATTCATAAATCTTTTTTTATTGTTAAATAAATTTAATCTTATTTTACTGAAGAAAAGTCAAATTCTCTTTTGATTTATTCTTTATATAAATTAGTTGATGAATTCATAGGATAATATATGATAATAGATATTAAGTTGTTAAATGAACTAAACAATAAGAGCACTGATATCATATTATATTAGTACTGATTATAAAATAAGAATATAATTTAATAATGTTATATACCTACTACAATTAGATATTATATTTATTGAGAATTCAATAAGATTTAGAGAAATTAGTTTTAATAAAAATCTTTTATTGTAGTTAATAATTTTGATATATATTCTTAATTCATGTTTTAGATCAAAATTAAAGATAAATGAAAATTAACTTCACTAATAAAAATCTCCAGATTTCAAAGCCAGTTTTATTTTTATAATAAATGAATAAGTATATGAAAATTAAATAATTAAATAATAAATTTAAGAATTATAATAATACATAGAGATAATTTATAAAATTATTTATAAAAATAATTTTTCTAGTTAAATTTTTTGATAATTTTAATCATAGATATGATGTTAAAAAATATTTGAATAAATTATTTTATTTCAAAATTAAATTATATTTTTGTTATAAGTTATTGTTTTAATTTATCAAATAGATTTTAAAAAATCCTTTAATTTATTTAATTTAAGAACAGCTTAATCCATGTAATTTTTAAATTCTATCCAAGTTAACTATTTTAATTATTATAGTATATTAATACAGTTTTATCATTAGATTATTTATCATTTTCTGAATTTAAATCATCAACTACTTCTTGTGCAAGCTAATCAACCATTTCTTCAAAGTGTTCATTTTATCCTTTTAACTATTCAATTAATTTATTTATTAATACTTTAAATTTAGTCTACATATCTTTCATACTATCTGTTAATAATTATTTTATTTCTGGAATACTAAGTGCTCCACTATTATCTTTGTCATATTTATTAAAAAGTTATTTGAGATTTCCTCTAAATTAGAATTTTCCCTTATCTTCAACACATAAATATTGAATCCATTCTTCTCTTGATACATATCCTGAATTATCTTTATCCAATATTTTCATTTCTTCTTTTATTCTAAATAAATCAGGCTTATCTCCTTCATAAGCATATAATAAGAACTTTAATTCTTAAATTGATGTTTAATTATCAGAATTTATATCAGATGCATCAAAAGCACTCCATGCAGCCATAATATCTTCATAAGCTTCCTTTAAAATACCATTAGGATATTATTGATTTTAATCATCATGTTTTTAATGTATTTTAGTTGATTAAATTAAAATATCAATAAGTAATTCTATAGTATCCTTCTTTTATTCTTTAAGTTCTGTTAGAAATAATGTTTTTATAGAATCAGCATCACAATATTATTAATCTGTTCCTCCTGCTGCAGATTCATATAGTTTTTAAAAGAAGATTCTTTTTTCCTTTGCTCTTCTATCAGCATTTTCAAAGGTTTATATTAATGCATATTATAACATAAAATCTTATAATTCCCATGAATTTAAAAGCCATATACTAAATTCATGAAATGATATTGATGCACTTCTATCTGAATCTAATTGAATAAACATTTTTTCTGCAAAATATTCTAGATCCTTAAGTTCTGGAGGTTACAATTTAGCAATTTTACATAATGCTCTTATACTTGCTTATAAAGTCATAATAAGTTCTTTTTTTTCAATTTCACCAGATTAATCAAAATCAAACATTTTATATATGAACTCTAATTTAGTATTAAACTCTTCTCCACAAAATACAATCTATTAGATATTATAATTTCATACAATAACAGCTAAACTTTCATAAATATCTACTTATCCAGCAGATGATTAATTATTTTCCAATAATAGAAACACTTATTCAGTCCATTCTTCTAATATTCCACCAAATACATCCAAATATTCATCTAATATTAAAGTACTTTTAGTTGGATATGAATCATTAATCATTTCTATACACTAATAGTTTCAATTTAAGTATTACATCATTTATGTGTTATAGCTTTCTTGTTTTAAGGAAATTAATTAAAGTTTCTTCTAATGGACCTTTTGGTACAGTTCTAAAATAATTGCCCATTATTATTAATATTATTATATATAAAAATAATTATATGAAACAGTTTTATTTCTATATAATATCTAATAAATAGAATTGCTTCTATATTTATATGACTTCAAATGAAATATTATTAATTATATTCAAAATAGTCGTTTTATATCAATAATTTAAATTAGTCTTTTATTGATCATATTAATAAATATAATGTATTACAAAGTTGTAAAATTCATACAAGTTGCTGATATGTTTGGAGCTGATATAACATTGAATATTTAAAATAAAGGAAAGTTTACTTCTGTTTTTGGAGGCTTCATGAGTTTGATAGTGTGGATTGTAATGCTTTACGTGTTTATATCATAAGGAGTAGATTTAATTAATAGAGTGGATTAATAAGTATAACTTTGTTTAAGAATAAGGCTATCACTAGAACAATAAATGACATAAGTCCGAATGCTAGAGTTCTCAATATCTCTAATTTTATGATAGGTATTAAGTTAGATGATCCTTTATAAACTTTATTTAATACCACAAATTAGACAATGTTTAACATTACTGTTTATTAAAATCATATTACAACATTTCCTAATAGAACAAGAATTAAATCAGTTAATACAAGTTTAATCCTAGAATAATGCACTAGTTAACATTTTTAATCCTTAGATTTAATATCAGATTCTGATCAATTAGAAACTTTCACTAATTATTATTGTTTACCTTTAAATTATTCATTTGTTTTGGAAGGCACATATAACTCTTAACATTTTTAATATACTTAAATTAAAGTTTCTGCTTGTAAAAATTCAACGTAATGTTTTACTACTGATTAATTAAGTCTATTATCAGAAAGATAAACATTTAAATTATCTACTTTAATGTTTACAACCATTATCAATCCATTTTCTAATGATGCAATAATATCACAATAACTTTTTTAGGATTTTTATTAATAAACTAAAAAACTTTAAGAATAGGTATCAGATATATTTTTGGAACCCAATACTTTAGAGATTGATAATTCTGTTTTTCCATTTGAAAAAGATTCTTTCTTTGGAGAATTTTGGTCTTTTCGCTTGGGAAATATCAGAAGTTTTATTGTAATTAATATAAAATAATTAGAATGATTATGTTGAACCAACTGGTTATTTTACTGTAAATCTTAGAATATCTTCAGAATATTATTCATCATTTATATCATTTAAAAAATTCGGTGATTTCATTTCATTTATTGGAGGAACATTAAAAGTAATTACTAGTTTAATTGGTATTATTGTAATTAAGTATAATATAATTGGATTTAAATTAATGTTAGCTAATACTTTATATTAGTGTAAATTAGAAGATGATTCAAGATCTCAAAAGAAGGCTGAATAAAATGATATTTTTAAATTCATTTAAAAAGAAAAAGAAAAAGCAGAAGCTATGTTATAAAAATTTAGAGGATCTACAAAGAAATTGTTCTAATTTAATAAAGTCACAGGAATTTTCAAATCTTAAAGATTTACTTAAATCTATAAATCAGATACAGATTTACTCAAAGATGTTCAGTAACCAAATAATATAAAAGAAATAGATTCAGTAAAATTAGAACCCACAAGTCATGAATATAAATCAATAGATCATCTTAAAGATTCATTCATATAAAATATGGTTGAATAATTGCTTATTGCTAATGAGAAAATTAAATTAGGATTGAATTTTATCGTCTATTATCTTTCTTGTTTCAGACATATTAAAAGATTCAAAAGAACATATATAGTTCTTCAAAAATCAACAATCAATATTAATAATGATTTGGATATTGTTTTAATTTTATAAAAACTCTAAGAGATTAATAAAATTAAACATTTATTACTTAATAATAATTAATTATAACTATTTAATTATATTCCATAACCAATTATAACATGGGATGGAAATTAAGTTTAAGATTCATAATAATCAAAGAATTCAATAGCTAAATTAAATGTAATTGGCAAAGTATGTAGATATGATACTAGAAACAAAATGTTAAAATTATTTAGAGCATACTAAGAAGTGAAAATAGATGAAAATGAAAAAGAAATTAATTCTCGTTTAATAGAATAATTGGGACCAATTGTTTAAAAAGTTTTTCAATAATCTCATTAAATTACAGAAGACTATAATAAAATGAAATAATAAGATGAAGATAATCATATTAAATCAAATAAAAGACCTCCATTAAATACTACAAATTTATCTTAACGTGATAAAATGTATACTTATGGTCCAAATTATTTGTTATCAAAATCGGATGCAATAGAAATTGAAGATATTCCTTATGATTGATCAAATTTTTGTTATTTAAATTAATTATTCTATATAAGATATTTAATAACATATTATTAAGTAAAAAATATTATTATTTGCAATATATATATATTTATAACTCTCAATTTTGTTCTTATTAGGCAGCTTATAACTAATCATATATTAAAATTATAATTAACTTCTTTTTTTAATTCTGCAACTTCTCTCTTTAATTTGATGTTTTCATCCTTTAATTTTTCATATTCTAATTTTAATTTATCTACATCAATATCCACTGGAGATCCTAAATACTTTTTCACATAACTAAATCAAATACTTTAATTACTCTATTGCATTATTAGGTTTCTCTGGTTCTTCATATAATCCTACCAAAACTCTTGTAAGTTGATCAATCACTCCTGCCTTTTCTAAATACTTTCTAAATTCTTCTTTTTTAGAATCTGTTGTCTATATTATAACAAATCTAATATACTTAAAAACTCATAAATTTTAATATATTTAATTAATATTATTCATTTCAATAAATAATAAGATTATATGCTTCTCTTTTATTAAACTCTTTCATAAATTCTTTAAATTCTTAATAACATTATTGTTTTATTAATGTTATAGAAATAATTTTTAAAATCATATCAAATAGAAAAATAAGTAAATTTTTGAAATCTATTAATTTGAAATTAAAAAAATAACAAGAAATATAATAAACCTGTTGGAGTATAGATTATGCAGTGTATTAGGAATTTCATAAATTTATGATTTTAATAATATAATTATTTGATGGATAAATTATAAACAGAAATATTGCTAGTTAACAAAGACATATATAATTAACTATATGATACTAAATCCTACACAAAATTAGATTAATTAAAAAAAATGAACATATAACCATCTCCAATACATGTAGCAAAAGATCTATTGAGTGTTAGAGAAAACCCATAAGAATATGTAAAATAACATAAATTGGATTTTAAGTTTAGATAAACTTAATTTTGGTAACCATCAATTAAGGACACTATGTCATAATAATAAACTATTTAATAATAATAATCAGAATAACAATAAGATTAATAATAATTAGCAGATACAACAAATGCAATATCATTTATTGAGACTTCAAAAAATGAAGAATCTTAAATGTAACAATCATCATAATCAACAAGAAGGAAAATACTCTTCAAATCTAGATTATCAAAATAACCAAGTGATTCATCTATATGGAAAAAGCCTCTCAAATAAATTAATAAAATAGTTTTATAATTAAAACAAGATAGCAAAGCTGAATATTATGCAATTATAAAATATGAGGATGCAAGTAATTAACTTGAATAAAAATCAATGGATGCAAATAAGAAAATTTAATGGGATTGCTAAGTGAAATTTGAGATTACTGATGAGCAAAATTTATATATCATTATTGTTCAATAATAATAAGGAAAAATAGGATAGTAAAATGTATTATAATAAACAATAAATATATAAAATGTTGAAAAATAGTTCTAATCAGAGGTATAATTAAAGTATTTAAAAAACATTATCAATGCTACTTTGTTAGTTGACTTTAATTGATGTTTAATTTTATATTATATTATCAGATATTATTATTTATTCTTAAATCTTTATAATCTTATTATTCATTAATATTAACACATTTAAAAAAAATAAAATTTTTTGATCAAAATTAATATAAAACCATAATAATTTTATGTTTATTTCAATTTATATTTATATTATTATAAATTATATAAATATACAGACAAGCTAAAGAGTTACTTCAACTTTTGTTATCATCATATACTCTTGGCACTCTTCTGTTAAATTATTTTTTAGAATTTCTTTTATTAATTATGATATATTTTTATATAAAAATATATCGTATAGGTTATTAGAATATTGATTTATATTAAAAATTATGATGATCGTTTAAAATAATTTTAATTGAATTTTATAATTAGTAATAATGAGATAACAAATTTCTGCACCTGCCTATGGAGTAGGATATAAGACTCCATTCTCTCTAACTTAATAAGGAGCTATCAAACTTATCTCTCAACCCTCATTTTAAAATTAAGTTTAACCAATGGCATAATAACAATATCAATAACAATAATAAAGTTACCCATAGCAATACAATAGATAAGTTTATCCAATAAATGGGAATACAAATGTGAATAGAGGAACATGGGAATAATAGGGGGGAGTTTAAAGAATTTAATCTAGTCATGGAAATGTTCCTGTGCAAAGTCCATTATAAGTTGTTGATTTGTAGTAAGTAGAAGAACCTTGGAGAATAAAGGTTCAGGAATTACAAAATAGAATAAAAGAATTAGAAGCTTAACAATAAAATAAATAAGATAATGATGATGAGGAAAGTGAATTATCTTAAGCATATAGTTAAATTTAATAATTAGTTAACACAATCAAAATATTATAAGATGAAATTTAATAATTATAAGAGAAACTTGAGTAGAAATAAAATATGATAGATGGTTATGATAGATAGATATAAGAAAAAGATAAAGAAATTGAGGAAGCAAATCAATATATTTAGGAATTGCATGGTCAGCTTGAAGAATAAACAACAAATGTTGAAGAGAAACATAAGTACTTGTTTGATGAAGTCAATACATGGAAAAAGAAGTTTATCGAATAAAATAAGTATGTATTCTATTAAATTATAGAGAATTTCATCAGAAATAAGAAGAATTAATGATTCTATAAGCTGAATTGGATAACCTCAAGAATGCTCAAATAATAATTGGTAAATCAAGTGATTACAAGCAATAAAAATGAATAGAAGGTTATAAGTTATAGATTATTATTATTAATAATTTAATTATTATTAAATATACAAAAATGTTGTAAAAATGCATTCAATTAGCTAAATCAGCCTAATTTTCATAAATGGTGAAATCTTATACAAGTTTAGCTTAACATAAGTGGTTAGACTATGATGAAACACATAAAGTATTTATAAATATTAAATTATTAGAGATCTCTTTAAACTCATAAGAGTAGAGCTGAAGAATTTATTCACAAAATACCTGTAATAGAAGTAGATTCTGATGTTGTTAGATGTTTGGTAATAAAAAAATTGATTAATAAATAAGGGAGGAACACATATTAATGCAGGACATCCTTAAGTCTATATTAAATTAGATACAAGAACAGAAGGTACACCATAAACATGCAAATATTGTGGTTTATAATATGTCAAAAAAGGGCATGGATCACATCATCATTGAGCATCAATCATAAATATTATAATAATTAATATATGAGTCTAAATTACAATACTCATAATTTGGGTATAATGGTATAATCTAACAAAGATCTAGCAATATCTATAGGGTTTTATATTGATTTAGAATAATTATTCTTTAAATATTTTTTAACTTAAGCTTCAACTTCCAATAACTAATTTATATTAATAAAATTACCTCTTGATCAGTAAATACTATACTTACTTAATCAGAATCATCCTTTTTACTAATATTAATACATCTCATAGTTTAATAAGTGTTTATAGCATTCTTAATAGTTTCTATAGAACAACTTTCATAATGTTCCATTATATGTTCTCCATACATTTATTCAGCAAATCCTTGTATTTAAGTAATTAATTCAGATAATTCAAATGTAGTGTTTGTATCACTTACTCTTTTTAATTAATATAAATAAACAATTGTTGACCAATAACATTCTACTAAAGGCCATATAAGTGAACATGTAAATTAAGATGCCTATTCACCAAATTGTTAATTAACTCTAATCTTTTCTTAAACCTTTTCTAAAACATTCTTGTCTATCATTTATTAAATGAAATTTGTCATTTATTCTTTAGATGTAATTCTATTTCTTATAACATATTCTCTTTTTAATAATTTCAACAAGAAATCACTCTCTTCCCATAATCTTTCTATACTTACTCCTTCCTTATGAGATAACAAATGTCCAAATCCATTTAAAGCACAACAAACTATTCCTTCACTAAAGAATATATGAGCTAATTAATTTCTATAATAACTTAATAATAGAATGCTCTTATATTCTTATTTTGGTATTAATGTTAATTCAAATACATTTTTCTTCTTTTTATCTACCAAATCTTATAAGAATCCAATTGAATTTCTCACAGCTACATCACTTTAACCATTATTAGTAATTGAAGTTTTGGCTCCTCTTTTTGTAATTTGTCTCAATACCCATTCAAATCTTTTTATCAATTAATCTTCTGTAATACCTCTTCTATTCATCAATAATAAAGTTGAAACTATTCCTGTGGGCATTACAACCATTTCTTCAATTAATTAGTAAGCTACTTCATAACCCAAAGTTTCAACTCCTTTTTTACGATCTCTAATATTCTCAAAAGAATCTAAACCTTATTATTTTGACCACTCTTTAACTGATATCATTTTTCCAAATCCAACATGTATTCTACCAAAATTAGATGATAATATTTTAATAGCTTTAATAACTCTAAGTAAGGATTCTTTAACCTTCTCTTCTCCCAAGAGTTCATATGGATATGTATCAGCCTCTAATACTTTTTCATAATTTATTGTAATTGGTAATATTGTGGCATCATGTATCTTTTTATCAAAAACAGCATCACACACGATATTTAATAATCCAAATTTTGGATTTAAAGTCTTACCTGTTCTAGATCTAGTACCTTCGATAAAGAATTCTAGATAGCATTCTTCAATTAAGATTCTTTAAACATATTCATAAAAGATTGCTTTATATAATATATTATCTTCTAATTATTTTCTCTTTAAAAAGAAAGCACCAGAAGCTCTTAAAATTGTTGGAATTAAAGCCATTGATAAAAAATCTTCTGCAGCTGCTATATGTGGACATTTGATCTTATATGAGAAAAAGACATAAGAACACTAATATAAAAAGATATGAAATACCATTATGAAATCTATATAGGATCTATGAGTTGGCATAAAAATTAAAGGACCTCTAGTTTTTTAATCATAATTCTATAATTCTAATAAGGCTGGTTCATTTATTTAAACTTTTTCATATATTTATCTAAAGACTTTGGTTATAAACCATCCAAATATTCTAATTATTCTCATATTATAATTGGCAAACATTACTTCACAAATATCAATACCTTATTTTTCAATATTCTAATGCAATTTCTCAAGATTAAGTGTTGTTTGTTAATATTTTTTAGATTTTTCTTCAACTAATTATTTGATAACTGATTATACTCTTTGAGAATTCATCACTAGACTTATTTGTTCTTTTGTGGTTTTTGTTTTGAAATCTTAGCCATGACTAAGACACCATTCAATATCACTAAAATAAGACTATTGATTTCTTTAACTGAGTACATCAGTACTCTATTCATTTAATTCTCTTGTTTAATCTTTTAAAATATATTTTTGAATTCCCCAATTAAATCTTTCTAAATATTATCTCCAATTTAATTGTTCAATATCTATATTAAAGTTTAGTTTATCAGATTCACTTAAGAATTTGATAAGTACATTACTATTAGAACTATCAAAAATCCATTCATTTATAACGAATGGTTTGAAAGTGTCATTAATAGATTCAGCTCTATCTATAATCTTTCTTAATCTTTTTGCCTAAATCTTCATTTCCTTATTTCCAATCTTATTTGCAACTTAATAATAAAGTAAAGCAGGAGCATTTTTAACTTTAGACATTATTTTATATATTTTTTCATTTTTATAGAATGTTAAATTGGGTTTTGAAAATTATTGAGAACTAGGAGATTTTGTCCAAAATAATGCATTAACTTCTTTAGCTAATTACCATGTCATTGGATTTTTAGCAGAAGAACAACAATGATAAACACTTACTTCTTTTCTACCATTTTGATATGCACCTGTTGCTAAAATAAAATCAGCTACATAATCTACAGGTACTTAATCTCCAATTAAACATTCATCACCATTTAATGTTTTTATTAATCCTAAACCAACAAAGAAAAATATGGCACTGCTAGCTACTAAACTATCAATCCAACCAGGTGTAGGATCTTTCCATGATGCTCCAACAATAGATGGTCTAACAAAAGTAAGTGGAAAATTAGGAGCTCTGTTTTAAACTAAGAGTTTTTCAGCTATACATTTTGTAAAAGTATAAGTATTAGGAAAATCTCCAATAATATCTTTTACATTTTTCTCCAATATACTTACAGGAGTCTTTAATAATTGAGACACTAATTGTTCCAAATTCTCTTAATTAGGATCATATATTTTCTCTTCTATATAACCAGCCTTATCTGAATTTACATATGCTGTTGATATATGAATAAAGTTTTCTAAATTTTTAATTTATTATGCTAATGCTATAAATCTTTGAGGTCCTCTTACATTAATTTATATAGCATCATCTAATCTTGCATTAAAATCCACACTTGCAGCACAGTTAATTATTATCTAATGATTAATTATTTGCTTACATTGACATTATTAATTATTATGTTTTTATCATGTTCAGCCATTCCTAAGCCTTCTTTTAACATATCTCCTTCAATAGGAATAATTTTCTCAATTATAAATTTTTCAAAACCTCCACCATAAATCTATCTTAATCGATCAAAACACTAACTCATAATCATATCCTTACTTATGAATCCAAAATTTCTCGTTTAAACCTTTCCATTAAACTACTACCTTTCTTTTGTCTGATCAGAACATAAATACATTCAACATTTGGTAAACAACGCAAAGTCTTTTCTAATAATACTTTGCCCACAAATCCTAATATAAATCAATATCTTTTTTACCAGTACATCCAGTTATAAACAGCACTTTTCGATTATAATATTCTTATAGCATTTAATAATTAATTTATGGAAAAAAATTAAATATTTATTCATTTTCTCCTTAAATTCTTATTTCTAAAGTGAGTAGATTTAACATTTAAGAAATATAATTTATTTAAGCAATAAACAATAAAAATTAATAGCTTCAAAATAATACATTTTTAATAATTTCATTATTGTTTTTTTAATTTATTTAACTCTTCATATACTTTAGAATAAAAATACTTTTGATTGTCTTCTAATTATTATAATGATTTTTAATGATTGATTAACTCATCTTAAGTAGTATTTTAATGGCTAAATCTTTCCTTATTTTCTTTACTATTACGTTATTATTCTTATTATTATTTTGATATTAATTCTTCTTTATTCCTTAAATTAATAATTCCTGTAAATGAGCAAGAATGATTGTTCCTTTTACTGAAGAGAATTTCTTCAAATTCAGTCCTATTGCTAAAATATGAACCTTATTAGGTTTTTAGATGACTCTTGCTTGTTAGTCTTATATTCTTCAATAAATTTCCTACTCTTTCTTTACATTCATTTATTCCATTTTTATTTGATTTTATATAAGCTTATGGTATCAAAGAACTAGATTTCTTTAATTATTTATCAGATGTCTATTGATCAATAATTTATTCCAACAATCTATTATATTTTTCAATTTTCTCCCCCAAATCTAATTTTTCTTTTAAGAGTCCCTGACTCTATATTTGAAGATTTTTAGAATAGATTTTTAATTCCTGATGTTTAGATTCCAACTATATTCTATATAAAAATAATATATACTAAACGTTCCTTTCTTTTAAGACTTTCTTCCCATTACTTATAATAATTCTCCTTATCATTCTTACTTAAATTATCATTAACTTATCTATTCTCAATATTTGATTTCTTAAGTAATTTGCTGGTTAAATAATTGTTAGTGATCATTTTGAAAATTAAATATAAATAATTTTGTTGTTAATGTAAATATTTAATAATGATAATTGTATTGAGTAGCTATTAATTAAATTTATTTATCATATTCATTTAATAAAGTAATGATAATCATTCTAAATATATTTATATATATAATGAATATAAATTCCAAATTCTTAGTATATTCCCTTAACAATATATCTTGTTAATAATAATTGATTTTACTTTTAAAATACTTTTTCTTAATTTTTGTTTATATTATTAAAGACACTCTATCTTTTAAATTAAGTGGAAGATTTTGGATGAAATAATAATTAAATTGTCTTATTATCTTAATCATATATTAGTTAAATATAATTATGCAAAGTAACCTTGAAATTTCATTCAGATTATTGTAATATAATTATTGATAGTAAATGTTACTAATACTTATAAACTTAATTTTAATCTGAAATAATTTATTATTGAATTTTCATATATAATCAAATTAGATATTTAATATTTGTTTCAATAATTTATAATGTATCATTCTATTCTAGTATTATCACTTAACTCTTCTTATTCATCTACTACTTCATATTCAGGTAATTTAATAGAAGGCGACATTAATTTATTATCATGATAAATATCATAAAAATAAATATTAATATTGCTGATATTTGCTATAATTGTTATAAATCCAAGAAAATATATCATATATTAATAGCTTATAGGATTTTCATCAAAAAGAATTTTACCTACAATAATTGGAAATATTGTTAGACCAGCATTTTAGATTGAACCAATAATTCCAAAACCTGTTCCTTATGAATTAGCATTTACACATATTGGGATACATGGCCAAATTACAGGTGCATATAAAGCAAAAAAGATTCCATTAATAAGTTAAGCCAATAAAACTAAACTAAAACATTAATCTTCAATTGAACAATCTACATTTTTAGAATATATTATTGTAGATAATAATAATAAATTACCAGAAATTATTAAAAATATGGGTCTTTTACCTATTTAATCTATAAAATAACCAATAATTGGTGTTACTGAGGCACTAATAAAGTATGGTAAACTATATAGAAATGTTTATTAAGATATAGTTAGATTATATCTATATTTAAATTAATTTATACCTGATTTGAAACATTCGTATACCATTAGCTTATAAAATCAAAAATGCACTATAACTTAATACACAACTAATAGAGAGTAAATAATAATCTAATTTAAATTCACTGACATCTCTACAATTTACAGGAGGTTATTGTTCTAATTCAAATATTTCTTGTTAACTCATCTATTCTCTATCTCTCTTATCACTTCTATCATCTAACATGCATTAAATAAAACTAGTTAGCATTGTAATCAAAATGAATACATAACAAAATATCATACAAGCAGTAAAACTATCTCCATACCATATATAAACTTTAGGTAACCAATTAGCACCAATTACTGATCCTACACGAATGAATGTTATTTATACACTAACTATATATTTATTATACCCAAAAGCTAAAGACATTTCTTATCCTAAAAACCATTTTGTAAGTAAAGCACTTTAGGCTACAGTTAAGCATACTTCCCCTCCTATTCCTAAAAATAACATTCCTAATTTAAGTAAATTAAAATCTCTATCATAAGCTCCTTAAACACACAATCCTTATCATAAAAATATATTTATAACCTTATCCAATTACTAAAAACGAACAAAAAATAAGCAATGCACTTTTAACTCCTATTTTATCTATAATTAATCCACCAAAAAAGGGTAAAACTATATTTGGCATAGAATATATAGAAAAGAGATAATTGATATCTTTTTGACCAACATTAAATGTAGATTAGATTTAACTAGCTAATACAGATGGAAAATCTATGCATATACAACAACCAACTTAAAATAAGCATGTCATCCCAAGAAATAACCACCTAATATTAGTACGATGCCATGAAATTTATTTCTTTTATTTTTTCATTAAAATTTATATTCTTATTAATTATCATTATAAAATATCAATTTATATGATCATATATAATATAATTACAATTAAAATTTAAATTAATAGATGGTAGAAAATTAATTATAAACAAATTAAATTTATAATTAAATCATCTTCAAAAAAGGAATTTCTATTTATTTTATATCATTTTGTATATCATTTAAAGAATTTAATTCTAATATCAATCTAATTTAAAAACTTCATTTATCTTCTAATATTTCTGATATTTTTAGATTATAATTGAATAAATTTCTTATTAGAATTAGTCCTTAAATATTAATGATCTATATTAATTATAATACAATATCCATTATTGATCTTAGATAAAATCTTTTTATAATGATATTGAATAATTAATAATTATGATAATTCAAATATATCATATTGAGTGTTACTATTTCTTTCAATTTTAAATTAAAATAAGTTTATTAATAAAATTTCATTAATTAATTATCTGTTAAACAAAATTTATTCATAAAATGAAAGATACTACAACTAGACGTATATTTGAGAAAGAGAATTAAGCAGAGGTTTCAAATAATATTGAAAAAAGAAATAATCAAAAATCATTAACACAATTAGTTTCATTGACTCTTCTGAATCATTAACCAAGTAATTAATGATTATTAATAAAGATTTCGAATTCAAGAGTATTGATATAAAATAGTAATATTCTTAATAAAACTATCTTACATAAAGAAATCCTAATGTTCCAAGTTTACATTATAGACCTGAATAAAAATAAAAAACTACAATTTGTACAACTATTTAGATAGTATTTTATTAAAGATATATAATTAGTATTCTCCAATTAAAGTTAGATAGACAACTTAAATTAGTTAAAGTATACAATAAGATTAATCATATAAAGAATCAAAGTTATAATAAAATAGATTCATATATAATTATGGTGATATTATATTGACAAATTACTAAATCTATGATACTATTTAAAAGTTTGAATTCTTAAAAAAACACTCAATCAATAGTTCTCTTAGAGCTAAGATGATAGATTGGATGATAGAAGTGATGACATCATATAAATGCAAAGATTAGACATTCTTTATGGCAGTAAGATTAATGGACTAATATTTAAATTAATCATAAAAATCTCATGTTCCATAAGATATGCATTTAATAGGAGTTACATGCATGTTTATAGCATGTAAATTTGAAGAGGTTTAACCAGTTAAATTATAAATTGTTCATGAAAAAATTGCACATAAAAAATTAACAAAAGAAGAAATTAAAGAGAAAGAGAATTAAATTGCATAAGCTTTAGATTTTAAATTTTTTGGTACTACTTTATATGAAATAATAACAATAACTTTACAAATGATAAATTAATATTAAAAATTACATTAAATAGTAGTTTATTTAGCCAAAATGATATTATATGACTATTAAATTATTAGCTAATTTAATTACTCTATATTATCAGCTGCATGCATTATAATTGGATGTAATTTATCATGTTAAGATTAAAATGATGAAATTGTAATTATTAAATTAATATATTTAGATTGCTTAAGTCTTATAACTCTTAAATGTAAATAAAGATGCCACTTTAGATTTATCAAATAAAATATTAAATTTGGCTAAAAATTTTGATAAATAATTCTAAAATTTAGAAAATTTAAAAAAATTCAATAAGAATTCAATTTTAGATATTGTTAAATTACAGAAATGAATGATTTACTTTTTATTTATATATATATATTAATATTTTATATTACTAAATCATTTAATGATGCTCATAAATTGACTCTCCGTAATGAAATAGCTTTATACAACTTTGTTTCCAAATTTTCTGTTGTTCATTAAAACATTTACTTATTTAGCTGCTTCCCATTATTTAAAAACAACGATTACATTACCTTCATTTTTTTTATCTACCCATACCATTTCAACTTCTCCATACTTTTTACATTCATCTATTAAAATAATTATTATTAAAAAAATTACTTTCTACTTCTTCTTTTAATTCAACTATTGCAGCCTAATTTGAAATCTCTAGTTCTGTCCACATATTTGTTAAAACAATAACTTTTGTTGTGCAAGGACAGGCTGGAGGATTGTGTTTAAGTGGCATCCATCCAGAAATACAACCTAATGTAGGATTAGGAGATTAGATTATATTCAAAATTCTTTATACTGTAAGTCCTAATTATGTCATTAAAGGAGGTAAGTTAATCTAAAGATTATTTTATTAATACATTATCAATAAGACTATCATCCATCAATTTTTTCATTAATGTTATTCTCATAACTGGATTTTAAACAAGATCATCATCTAATTATAAATCCATATAATTATTGGCACCTGATACTAATTAAACTTTAATTGGTTTTCCATTTAATAAAAATGGTTAATTATTTATTACTTCTATCATATTTCTTGCTGATTCTGCTTTTTCATATGTAACATATAAGACTCCAGTCATTCTACCAGATTCATCTTTAGGAATTTCTACTGTTTCAATAGTTCCAAATGGTGCAAAGGCTTCTCTTATATCTTCTTCATTAATTCTTTATAATTATTCTGCCATGCCAGTGATTTATACTCTAGCTGGTCCATTCATATTTTATAAATCTTAAATGTTTTGCAATTTATTTTATTTAATTTGCATATTTTTTTAATCTCTTGCAGCTCTATTTTTTTCTGCTTAACTTAATTGTATTTTAACAGGAATAGTTCCTACTTATTATCCATCCATAATAAATAAACGATCATTTAATGCTAATGCCATTGGTATAGATTCTTCTTAATAAAATTCAACATATGCTACTCCTCTAGATCTTCCAGATTTCTAATCTCTTATAATTCTAATATCCCTTATTTTACCACAATTGAACTAATCAAATTTAATAGTATGTTACTGTTTAAAAGAACTAATAGATGTGTTTTTCTTTTGCTTTAAGTGGTAAACAATACATTAGTACTGTTAAATCTTATCTATGTGCTTCTTCTAATTCTCTTTCAACTTCTACAATTTTTCTTTCCAATTCTCT